AACGGTTATTCTTTTTATTATTTTATAAATAAATATTTTTTTCAAAGTTGGATATTTAAGTTAGAATGTAAAAAATCTATTTTGCCAGTACATCAAACTCTTGCTACTTGGTTAATTATTGAATGTTTTAAGCGTGGTATATAGAACGTTTACAAACAGTTGTGTTGCAAATTTAATAATTAAGTGTACACATGTAAAGTCGATAAGTCGGATTTGGCCTAACTCGGACAAAATTTTTCTCCCCTTTTTTTCAATATTTAAAAAAATTTGGTAAGTCGGACGACATATATAAAGTCGCGATAAGTTGTAAGTCGGACGACTTCTTTAACCAGATAGTAATAAATGACTCGATAAGTCAGACCAGTGATTTTTTCAAATATTGAAAGATAATCCTTACTATTTTTAGTAAATACGCGCAATTATATATTTTGTAGAATTACTATTAATAATTAATTAAACCAGCCTTATATATTTTTGTAGTTCTATTAAAAATCAACAAAATATGGAGGAGGCCAGTAATTTCTGTCCTAATTTTGATGAATCCAGAGAAGCAGACCATATTAACTACTTGCTAAATAAGCAAAAAGAAATATTTAAAATGATCTATTATTGTGAAGAGCATTATACCTGTCGCCAAATGATGTTATCTAGTTATTACTCATGGCCAAATGACCAACCACTTCCTCAATGTAAAATATGTGACAACTACATCAGGCATACTAAGGAAAAACCTATTTTATGTGATATTAGCATTGATGTAGTGAGAATGATAAAGGTTGTAGATGCAGTAATTAAACATTTGAAGAGAAAAGAAAAGGAGGCTACAAGAGATAATATCATAAATGTATTCTGTCAAGCAAAAAACAAAAATGTAAATGAAAAAGGCTTTTCAGAATTGGAAATATATAAATTAATGTATAATAGGGTCATAAAACAACAACAGGATGCTCTTCACCTACTTGACAGGTGGTCTTGTTTTAAGTGACATTGTTTTATATAAATCGCCTAATCTTTCTAATTTCCATTGTAATATAGTAGTAATTGGTTTAAAAGAAGGTGCAATATCAGAAGCAACATTTAAAAAATGGGAAATTTTTTAAAAAAAATAAATATATAGGATTATTTATATTAGCAATGAGCCGATGAAATTTAATTATTAATTATTAATTTTAGTGTTCAACAACAAAAAAATTATCCACTCCAATAACTAGTTACTTATTTAAATATCTATTATTTTAAGGGTAGAGTGTACATGACACGAATTTTACTATGATGCAACTACACAACTACATATTACATTCAAAAAAATTTATACTTTCTTGTGATGATTTAAAATCGGAAATATTTGGCCTTTGAGCAAACTGTGTTGCCTTTTGACTCAAGATTGCACCAGTTATTGTATGGTTAGCCTCATTGGCAAGATTCACCCAAATTGCCAATGCTTCTTCTAACTGTGGCCAATCACCTCCATGACTGTGTTTTTTATTGGCATCAATTGAACTTTCAGTAATTGCAAGCTATTTCTCTTTTTCTCCAAGAACATCTCCTCCACTTTACT